AAACTTCAAGACAGTCTGAAAAAAAAAGGTAAATAATTAACTCCATAAAATAATGGCAAAGAAGATTTGCAAACCTGAAGAAGAAACACCTGTGATTAAGGGATTCTTTCTTTCATTCTTCTCAAAAGCACGACATATATGAACTTGGACCAGATCCGATCCATAGATAACAGTATTAGCTAGATCGACAAAGTTAAAGTATAAGGAAGCAACTGTTAGCACGAAACAAAGAGATTTAAACTGAGTTTTATGTGTATAGTAAAACCACCCAGCCACTAGATGGTCTAGATATAGGTGGTGGCATTAACCGAGCAGTAGTCGCATGCGCATGAACACAAATTCAAAGACGACTTGACTGACTGATCACTGCCCCAAAATGCAAAGCTTTAACGGGGTGAAAAAACACACACAACTGGGAAGGAAGGACCATACTAGTTAGCTAGAAAGAAAGAAAGAAAACCCATCCATCACAACCATTAATAAGCTAGGTTTACGTGAATGGTCCCATGTTGGTTGGGTACAGTGAATTTGCCCCCGCCCGCTAATCTGCACAGTAATAATAATCTCGCCCTTGTTCCCTACAAATAAACACCATCAAAAGCATCGCCGGGCACAGTAAAAACCCATAGATTTATATTTATTAGTTAGTACTTAGTTTTATAATAACCCACAACCAACCGGGTGTAAGCAAGCAAGCAAGCACCAAAAACGCGACAATTAGAGCTGAAAGTACAAGAGAGATTCAGAGAGTGGGATCTGCAGGAGGAGGAAAAGAGGAGGGGAGGACGGAAATGGGAATGTGACAGAGAGAGCAGTGAGCACGCAAAAGCAATGGTACAGACTCTTGGTAACAAAATCCCTCTGTGTGCTCACTCTCTTCTGTCAAATTTTCTCTTTCTCCACCCTCCCCCACCCCCACAGAAACCTAATTAATCACCCCACCTGCAGGAAGAACAAATCCATCCATGGCAGTGAATGATTTGAAGGAACGGACCCTTTTCTTCTCACTTACCATATGCAGACGGAATGAGCAGCAGTCGAAGGAAAGGGATCCAGATCTGGGAGCTAGGGTTTTCGAGGAAGAGGCTCACGATATATGCAAGTAGGAAAACTCCAAAGGAGAATTCGGCCGAAAGTAGATAAAGGGGAAAAAAAGGAAGGAGAGCAAGAAGATGAGAGGATAGCGAATGGGATGGGATGGGATGGGAAGGGAGAACCCAGCCCAGCCTTTATTCTTTCTTCGTAGCGTAATAAAAGTCTCTCTCTTTCTTTGGTGTCTGCTGCTGCACACTCATTTAAGTGAAGCAATTATTTCTGCTTTCCGTTACGCCAATTTTCTTTTTTATTGTTTTACGTTGTGGGATAGGGAGGAATTGGGATTTCTCTCTCTCTCTCTCTCTCTCTCTCTCTCTGGCATGCAAAGGGTACAGATGTCAGTCACGTGTCCCAAGTGTCCTCTCTTCTCTTTTCTGATTGGACCAATCTCAAATTCACTACTCGAATTGGTAAAAACAAGAAAATAATTGTTCCAGTCCCAAAAATCCCATTGTGACATATTGTTTTTTTCCCTTTTTTGGGTTCATCCAGATCACACCCAACAGGATAACTTTGGCCAAATTTATTTGGCTACTTGTAATTGTACTGTACAAAGATCGACCCCCAGAGCGCCTAAATCATATACGAAGGATCACACACCTCCAAAGAATACGAAGAACTCAATCTGTAAATGGATATCTTTTGACGAATGAATAATACAATAGCTACTTTACCTTCTCTACTTTAATTTAGCTCTGTAGAACTCTATCCTTCAATCTTTCCCTCTGTTCCTTCATTGTTCCTTCTCTTTGCTAGATTTTACCATCAAAGATCCTTACAATTGGTATCAGAGCCTGTCATCTGTAGGGATGGCAATGGGTCGGGTTGGTTTGGGTTTGGCCTGTCATCTGTAGGGATGGCAATGGGTCGGGTTGGGTCAGGTTTTGCCAAACCCAAACCCATGGGTTTATCTTTGAAAAAAAACCCGGGGTAAAACCCATTGGGTTTGAAAAACTCAAACCCAACCCAACCCGTTGGGTATCCGCGGGTTCATGGGTACCCACGGGTTTTGTCGTAAAAAATTACAATTAAAAGTTCTTATCAAAATTAAAGTCAAATATCAATCTCTCAATACAAATTATCCATATATAAAACACCATTCTAGAAAATTCAAGCAAATAACAAATTAACTATACAAATTGTTCAACACCAATCTAGAAAACGCAAGAAAATTGAAGCAAATCATAAACAAATTATCCATAAATAACATGTTTAATTGAAAACTTCTTTCTTTCAATTAAGTTTCTTTACTCTCCACTCCATAACATCAACTTCATTCTACACAATTAAAAAGAAAAAATTAGACATGTCTCCACAAATATAAATAAGATTAGTTGTTTAGAATATTAAATATACCCAAAAAATTAATTATATGGATGGGCGGGTACCCACGGGCCGGGTTTACCTAAACCCAAACCCAACCCGATGAATAGTGAACGGGTTTAAACTCAAACCCGGCCCAAAACCCGTCAACACGGATTTTACCCGCGTTGACCGAGTTGGATCGGGTGGGTACCCATGGGTTCGGGTTTTGTTGCCATCCCTAGTCATCTGGCAACAATGGCGTCTAATACATGAGCTCCTCTAATTTACACATCCACGTCCATAATCATATGTCACAAGCTTTTACAGTTTACATGATGAGATTGAGACATGCACTTGTTATTGTGTTGTGTACCTTTGCGACAATGTACGCTCAATTTTCATGAATTTTATGCCAATTTGAAAAACATTAAAAAAATGGCAAAATCATGTGAAATTGAGATTATAAGTTTAATAGCTCAGTGAAGCTCGTCATATATATATAGACTAATAGTAAACCGTTTATGTCATTGTTGTGTAACCAAATGGTCTGGCTCGTTGAAGAAAAAAAAAGGTAAATGATTCTATTTAGTGCTATGAATACTCGTTAAGGTGTTGATTACAAATTTCAGTAGTTGCGACCTGACCAACGAAATGGTAATTTCTTCGTATTCTTGATGTTACAATCATAGCTATGGACAAAAGATTAGAGTCTAAGAAATTTAGATGTTCAAATTTAAAAAAATCAATCATTATAACCAATAACGCTTTCCGTAACAAATCATGTTTTGTTAGCATATCTCGAGGGTTCATTATTTGTTAACATCTGTCTAAATCGTTAGCTAATATCTTATTAATAATGAAATTACTCATGCAAATGCTACAAGGGGAAGCGCGAGGAACAAGTGTTTTGGTGTCTTATCCATCCTTGAGGCGTGGTCCGTCGTGTTGGAAATTGGATTTCTGATGATGCAGTTCTGGTTTTGCTTATTTAAAAAAGGGATACACAGCGCATCACATTCATGACTTTTTCCTCGCAAAGATAATGTAAAGCAATAAGAAAACTTTTATAAAACAGAAAAGAAATAAAGAAAATATATATATAAATATTACACGTTACTATTGGATTTGGCATTTCATCTGGAATGGGCCAAGGCTTTTTCCAAGTGGGCCAGAACTGTACCAGCAGGCTGAGTTAACCTTCTACTCACTGGTTCTCTGCAACTCATCGCCGCCTTAAGCCCAACAGAAGAGATGAAAACAGAGCTCAAGTTTTTGAAATTGAATGCATGGAGACCAACTTGTACCATTGAAGGTTTGGCTGCTTCTCCCTGTCAACGAAACTAGTCAGCATAAAAAATCTAGATCGTGCAGTAAAACAAGATGAAGACAATTCTTTTTACCTCGTCCTCAGAATTATCAGATCCACCAGATTCACTGTTTATGAACTTAAACTTCTGTCTATTCATATTTAAAATAATTGCTCTGTCGCCATCATCATAAACAACCTACAAAGCACAAAGATGGACAGAAATTATAGGCGGGGAACCCATTAAACCGAAAGGGAAAGAATCGTTCTATCCATATGTGACAAGTATGCCTCACCTCGTGCTTCTTTTTGGTAGAATCATAAGATTGAACAGTGCCTATATAAAACCTGCAGAAACATCGATTAACATAATATATGAACCTGAAGTTTAAACTAAATAAAATAATTGCTTTATTTACTAGTAAGCAGTAACTCAATTTCAGAAAAAGGCAAATGCAGGAAACTTACTTACGGTCTTGTGGTCAGTATACTTAGCATCAGATGCCTATAAGAATAATCGCTACATAAGCACATTATTTGTTCACTTGGAAAACTAATGCACACTAATAGTATATCTGTATATGGGAAACAGGTGACACAGTGAAAACAACTTTGGACATGGAAGTGGGAAAAGAAGCCAACATGACAGAAGATAATACCATATGATCCAGACAGTACGTACTTCAAAGCTAGTTGTGCTAACAACATGAATTGAATATCAACTACATGGTAAAGGTTTCATCTATATAAGAAAACTGAATTTGACCAAAAGTAAGGAGGAAGATAATGTACATTAATGTCATCATCTTTGAGTAAAGTTTTTGCATATCATTTTTCTGCTTACTTTCAGAAGCCCCATCAGCATCGCCTGATACAAATTGATCTGCATGACTTGAATCTGGAGCATCTTCGCCGTGACTGTTGCCTTCAGGAAGCTTCTCAACTTCTTTTTCATCAGCAGTATGTGTTGGTGCGTCAAGCGCGAGACGCCTTTCTTCTTTTGTGTGGTTTCTGTGTTAAGCAAGGCAACACTGTACCTGCAGCAGATACCTAATAGACTCTTCGGGCAAGAACAAGTGAAATATGAAGTATGATGGGAATTTGATCCAAGTGTGTGTGGCAAAAACTTGAATCTCGTTGTTTCTAATACGACACACAAATTGGGCTCTAACTTGTCAGATTTTTGCTCAAGCCCGGAAACCCTTATGAATTATTTCCAGTAACCCAAGCAAGCCCACTTCTTAATTTAAATGAGAAGCAAATGAAAGACTTGGCCCAATTAAGAACCAATACGACAAACCTCCACGGACGGGTCTAGATACCAAGAAACCCACCTCGGACCTGCCCATTGTCATTCCTAAATTAACCTTCTACTCACTGGTTCTCTGCAAATCGTCGCCAACGGAAGAGACGAAGACAGAGCCAAGACAGGAGTTGAATGCACAGAAACCAAGTTTGTTATCTGAAACTAAAATAATCTATTGATTAAGAAGAAAATGGAAGAAGATCAGCTTCTATTCAACAATGGCTAAGCCCGACGCTCTCTTCTTCTACTGTACTATGTCCCCCTTAAATAACCATTGATTAATTAGATAATAAAATAGAGCGATTAAGGACCCACCTAACAGTACCAACTATCCCTAACCCTTACCCTTCTTTTTTTTTTTTTTTTGGAGAAACCTAACCCTTACCCACCTGTGCTTCTGATATCTCAACAATACCAAAGACAGCTAAAACTCCACGCTACAAAATGCTCCCCTTAAACTCGCTCCATAAAAATTCCATATGCACGGAGAAAAAGAACCCAAGCTTCTGCCTTTCCTGCTGCTAATGCTCTCTACATGAACGCCAACTCTCAGACCCGAATTTCGGAACAACATCCATCCATCCATCTTCATCAAGTTTAGCCTCCCCTTGGCCGCTTCTTCCCGCTCTTTGCCTCACTGGCCTGTCCCTTTGATAACGGTTTATCCTCGATAGTCTCCTCCTCTTCTTTCATCGACTCGTCACCAGAGCTGTCTTCCACCTCAGTGTCTTTTGCCTTGGCCGAACCAGTTTTGGGCTTCCCTGTACCATTAGCTTTGGACTTCGCGCCACCCTTGATGCCTTTACCCTTGGCAATGGAGGAAGCTATCTTCGGGCTCTCAGCCTTGGAGGATGATCTCCCGCCAGGAGTCTTCTTGGTTGATTGTTTGGATTTCGGCAACTTGGCAGAAGAGCTAGCGCCACCATCGTCTTTCGACTTTGTACTTGCAGTAGCTTTAGAAGCCGCAACAGAGTCGTCGGTGGTCTTGGATTTCCCTGGAGTTTTGGAAGATGGAACATCACCTGATTTACCTCCACTCTTGAGGGTAGGCTCCTTGGTTTTGGCACCGCTATCGTCCTCTGTTTTCTTGGAAGCCTTGGAATCTTCCGCATCAGTTTCATCGACTTCCTTCAGTTTCCGACCTGGTTTCCCACCAGCTGCTACACTCTTGGATTTGCTAGAAGCCCCGCCACCCCTATAACCAATCAAATCCAGTATTGAAAGAAATGAGCACAAGTAGCACCATCAGAGGTGCAATGTGGAAAAATAAAAATTCATGTCACGCACCTTTTAGGGGAAGCATCCATCTTTTCCTTTTTAGCCGACTGCTCAGTTTTTGCCTTCTTCTTTACCGGTCTGTAAAGGGAGGACTCGGGTTATAACTTAGCAATGACTGAGACCAATGGAATTGCAGTAGAAAAGAAAGAACTCATGAGTTCAGTAGGGGAAACATATACGCGGGACACATACATCTCAGATGAAGCATCGGGACTTGAAGGTTTGGCTGCTTCTCCCTGTCAGCGAAACTAGGTCAACAAAACAATCTAGATTGTGCAGTAAAAAAACAAGATGACAATTCTTTTACCTCATCCTCCGAATCAGATGCACCAGATTCACTGTTAATGAACTTAAACTTCTGTCTCTTCATATTTAAAATTTCTTCATCGCCATCATCATAAACAACCTACAGAGCACAAAGATAGACGGAAATTATAGGAAGGAAATTCATTAAACTGAAAGGGAAACTGGGAAAGAATCGTTCTATCCGTATGTAACAAGTATGACTTACCACATGCTTCTTTTTGGTAGCATCGTACGATTGAACAGTGCCCATATAAAACCTGCAGAAACATCGATGAACAGAAGAGATATGAACTTGAAGTTTTAACTAAATAAAAATTTTGCTTTATTTTCCAGTAACTCAATTTCAGAAAATGACCAAGTTGGAATCAACGTGTCAAAAAAACTTAGATAGAAGAGGCATTTGGGTTTGACAATCACCAGTAGTTGGGGCATTTTACTAAACATCCTCCGCTATTTCAGGGATTGACAATGCATAAGAAACGAAAGAAGATTTTTCTGGGACAACCATATAACCCAGAGATAGTAAGACAGCCAGCCATGAGTAGAAAAGACCTGAAGATGAACCTATATTGGAAATATACTATAGAGTAGGTGCACTAAAGAGTCTGCAATATCGAGAGGAGCATAGACAAGAAAACCAGACAGAAAAGACAGACACCCATGCCAATATTTAACAGGGACTGCAGAAATCAGGAGATTTACTATTAAACTAGAATAGCCCAGCATTTCCATTTACACCTATATAGTAATATGACACCGAAGCATCTAATTAAACTTTCTAAAGGCAAAAGCAGGAAACTTACTTACGGTCTTGTGGCCAGTATACTTGTACCCTTGAACCGACGATTTCGTCTCCATAACCTTTAGCATCAGATGCCTATAAGAACAATCGCAACATAAGCACATTGTTTGTTCAATTCAAAAACTAATAGTATATGGGAAACAGGTGACCCAGTGAAAATAACAACTTGGATAAGGAAAAAGGAAAGGAAGCCAACATGACAGAAGATAATACAATATGACCCAGACAGTACTTCAAAGCTACTTGTGCTAACAACATGAATCGAGTATCAACTCCATGGTAAAAGGTTTCATCTATATGAGAAAACCGGATTTGACCAATTGAATTATGTGAGAACTGATTTATATGTTCGTATACTACATAAGTATTACCCACTAAGAAGGAACCCCTGCATGACAGATGTGATTCAGAACCACGAGCCTTCATGCTTTAATCAGAAAAGCTGAAGATAGCAGCTCAAAGAACAAATAGTGAAAATTTTGGAAGCACAAAGAGTAAACAACAAATATAAGACAACAACAAGGGCATAAGAGGTTAAGACAAACAGTTATGCATCAATGCAATCTTCACTCCAAACAACATACCACTTCTTTTTCTGCGGACTTCCCTACATCACGTTTCCTTTTGCTACTTGTCTTGGGAGTCTCTTCAATTGGATGTTCTTCTTTCCCTTGTTTTATTGCAGACTTCAGGGATGAAATATTTTCCTGCACAAATAAAAGAACAAGATAAAAAGATATAAATTCACCAGAACTATGAACTCAAAAGTAAGGAGGAAGATAATGTACATTGTCATCATCTTTGGGTAAAGTTTTCGCAACATTTTTCCCCGAGACAGCTTTTCCGCGCATGCGTCGGTTCTTATCTTCAGACTGCTTTAACGAAGATCCTTCTGCAGTCTTACTTCCTTCATCTGCCTTAGATGACTGCTTCAGTAGTTTGGCGTCTAACTCACTTCCACCACTTTCTTTCTTGGATGTCTCAGTTCTCTTTACCGATTTATCATTGTTTGAGGTTCCAGAAGGTGCCTTTCTACCAGAGCGTTTGGTGGTCTTCACTTCTGAATCGCTTGTCCCTTCTGATGCCCTTTTTTGGACATCATCAGTAGATTGCACCAGCTCCTTTACTGAACCCTCTTTCTTCTTCAAACGAGCAACCTTTTTTGCAAGAGTTTCATCAACAGGGCTTTCACTCGCAGATGGAGAAGCAGCCAAGGACTCGCCATCCACAGCTTTAGGGGACAAAGGCTGCATATCATTTTTTAGCTTACTTTCAGAAGCCCCAGCAGCATCGCCTGACACAGATTGATCTGCATGAGGTGAATTTGGAGCATCTATGCCGTGACTTTTGCCTTCAGGAAGCTTCTCAACTTCTTTATCATCAGCAGTATGTTTACCCTCAGAACGGCCGATCAACTTTGCAGATGAGTTAGCTTTTCTCGCCCTCTTTCTGTTACTCTGCTCTGGCCTGCTTTCCTTTTTAGCAACCTTCTCGGTCACAGAAACATTAACCTCAACATTTTCGCTTTTTGTATCCTCAGTGGCTTTATCCTCCTCAGGGGCTTTCAAGGAATCTGATTCAGCCAAGGACTCAGCTACCCTTGTCTTTGCCACGCCATTGCTTACAACTGACTTTGAGGACTTGCCTGCTGAAGTGGGTACTTCAGAAGAACCAACTCCTGCTGTCAAATCTTTATTTGCCTGAAAAGAAGGAAGGACTTATATCACACACATAAAAGAGAACTTAAAATAAGAGAGGGGGGAAAGAGAAGGAAATGACATACTTCGGCAGCCTCATCGACCAACGCCCCATCTGACTTGCTTCCTTCTACCTGTAGTAGCAAATTTGTCCAGTTAAACATGCAGATCATCCAGAGACATGAACAACAGACAAAAGTTACTCAGAAAGATGTCTGACAGTATCAACATCCCAAACAAATCTCTTCAAAAGGGAAACAGAAATACTGAGAATTTCATGAAAATTGACAGAATGATAGTTACATGTTGGGTGAACAGCCTCATTAGCCTCTGATATTCAGTTACAAAGAAAAGCCAACCTAATAGAAGATAAAATCCAATGATACAACATAACAACCTTCCACACAGCAACCTTACTACCCAAGTTTGCAGAGCTAGATATTGTCCTACAAACTAAGGTTAGAACACATGAAAAAGACTACCAAAAGTCAAAAAGTCATCTAGACTGCACTGTGACTGCCATTTTAGTGTCAGCAGCAAAAGAGCCAGAGGTGATACACCAGCAAAAATGACCATTGGCTTCTAGTTCCAAGAGAGGAACGGGCACTTACTTTATTATTATCTGCTGGTTCACTATCGTCGAGACGAACATCTTGGCATATCGAAACAACAACATCACTGTAGTCATCCAAAGAAGTCTGTAAAGCTTTCACAGCAGCTGACAAGCCCTGCTTGACCTGTGTAGTACATTTTGCAAGAACACTCTCTACCAGCTTGCGAGCAACGGGCAGGACTTCCTGGCATATAAAACAAAGTTAATTATAGTAGAGATACTAATATTAACGGAATTTCCAAAAATTATGTGAAACTAAAGCAACAATAGAAACCATGATAGACCTCGTTTCCCTTTTTCACGCTAGCTAAAAGGGGCAAAAACAGTTTCGGGGGGCAATCTTCACTCTCTTCTAAGACGAGTTGCATAATGGTCTCCATGGAAGAAATAACATTTTCAGGATGGTGATCCCTGCAAGAATAGTGAAGCATCATTGACATAGTACTTTTGTCTATTCACAATTACTGTTACATGGAAAATCTAATTACAAAACAAGACATGCATGAAAAACTTCATAAGATAAAAAACGTATCAACAACTTGAATCAAGCATTTCAACAAACCACCCTCAAGAGCAGTTTCCAGCATATCTTGCCAATGACACACACCAGGCAACAAAACATAGACGTCTATTGGATATAGGTCATTACCTTACAGACTTGAGGAACTTCTGGAACATGTCTAATATCAGTGCATCCAAGTCAAGATCCAACATCACCACACACGACCGGACCTTAGCAACAGTTTCAAGTATCGATGTTCTCTTGACATATGATCGGCTACTCTTGTCATCCAGGTCTTCAAATGAAGATACTATCAGCTGAAAGACATCCTGCATACATACGAAACCAAATGAAAAGAATAAGACCGAAATGCATATCAATTAAACTGAGATAAGCTATTAAACTGCCAGGATTCCACGTGTTGAAAGCACTAGCCACCTTCATCTGGTCATCATCATAAGGAGCTTCTGGTGCTGTTATTCTTGTTATTTCACTGATGCAAGAAGCCACAGCAACTTTAACATCCACATCTGAATGCCTAAAGAGCTGGTCTGTGATCAACGCAGTTTGTGATGGAACCAGTGCACTTTGCATTGATTTTGTAGGTGATTGCTCCACCTTTACAAGATAACTCTCGACTTGCTGCAAGAATCAATGAAAACATTATGGAAAGATTCAAAAAAGAAAAACAAGATTCTTAAACAGGAACAAGACACAATTACAGCAATGTAGTATTTGCTGCAAGAATCAATGAAAACGTTATGGAAAAGTTTAAAACAAGAGAAACAAGAGACACAATTATAGCAATGTAGTGCAAGATTAACGGTGTATCTAGACTTAATAATATATATATTCTTAACAAACTAAGGTATATCCAAAACATCGGGAAGCTAGAGGATTCAGATCAAATCTTGATATTACCAGCCTACTTCTTTCCCGTTATTTCAGGTGCAAGTAACTAAGTCGACAACAGTAGTTTCACTTTCACAAAACGAGGCTTTACCGACAGTGTTGTGATATAATGCAGATTTAGGCCTCAAACATGTGAGTCAGGGCCACCCATCATCCAAAACAAAATGATAAGATGCAAATTTCAGGGACATCCTCACCATCAATGAAGCAAAATCCAAGTAAAAGGTTCTGTCTTCGCAAGGATTCGCATTTTCTTATGGTAGGTCTATCGCGTGAATTGTGATCATGTATGATTGTGTCGTATGAACAGATCAGCTTATTCAGTAGTCAACTTAAATTTTATCAAAATTTAGAAGATAATGTAAATGTGTAGTCAAGCCACCTCAGTTGTCAAGTAAGATATGAAATGAAGAAAACCACACTAGGCCTAGCTCATCAAATGCATCTATTAAGTGTGGATATAAATAAAGTCCATCAACCAACATAGCCTCATCAACTAATTCGCAAATGCTATTCTAGGCTCGAATTAAAAAGAAAAGAACATCACCAAACCTAAACCACCCTGCTACCTGTTGCGTACATAGAAAGAGAGCAGTCAAATATCCTACCAAAAGAAAGAAAACCTGGGAAGCATGTCCTGAGAATGAGTTCAGAAAGTACCAAAACAAAAGCCAGCCGTTACCATATCACCAACTTGACAGCAAAAGTGTGAATACAATATCACCACGTGTATATGCGTCACAAACTATAACTACCGTTATACAGCTATAAATACAACATCTAATGATAACACCAAATATTCACCAATGAAATCTCACCCTTTGTTAAATGAACATACATGGCCCCATCTATAGACATTTTTGGAGCCTCCTTAAAGAAACCGTCTAATGTTTCACGTCTTACGTTAAATAGGGTTAGTGCAACTAATATCTTGAATTACACATTTATAAAAAATACGCGAATTATACACGTGGTCGTTGTCAGGGTGATCGGGCACCCCATCCAACACGCGCAGAGAAGCATATAAAGCACCTATCATGTTACCATATCTATGCAATCGCAACTTACTTCTAATTAAAAGCCTATATAATCCCGTCCAGCAAACTCCGCAACCAATTAATTATTCTCTCTCAGACATCAATCTTTTGCAGTAACAGAATAATGCCTGTTATAATGAGGTTATCAAATGTAGGAGATCACTAACTAATCAACCCCTAATCATCACGAAGCACCAGAGCGAGGTGACTTCATACTTATTACTACAAGTCACAAACATAAAGAGCACTGTTAATGATAAATCCTGCTAAGATGCTATGATTTTGACACCAATATGGGATTAACGTAAATGTAAACTACAAGACCATTCAATTGTGGAAAGACACAGAGTTTGCCATAACACAAAATACACACGACTAAGAACAGGCAGAAAACACAATCTGAAAGTTCCATCCTCCCATTTCTATCTCCCATCAAGACCGGAAAACAGAACAGAACCAAATTTCACGCATTTGAAAAGTTGGCTGGTTCAGAGCTTCCCCCCTTCCAGTGACCATACAAGATGTGTAGGTATATAATGGCGCAGAGGGCAGAAACGGAGAACTCTAGTCAATTCAACACCCCAAAACTCAAAATCCTATCATGCATGTATACCTAAATGAGCCCACCACGAATGCAGACAGTAAGCAAGCAGAAACAGAAACAAAAGGGGCACACATGGAAGCAAAACCTACCCTTTGGCGAGTCACGAGAAGATAAACACGAATCCCACTACCAAACAACACCTCAGAAAAGCAATGAAGAAACGGAGAACAGTAGAAGATCGAAGAACAAAAAAAAATCGAATGCAGTCCGCCCGTACGTGATGTGAGAACAAAAACCTAGCAAATGTTTCTACCACACAAGGGAAACGAGAGCGAGAGGAAAAGGGGGAAGGGGAAATACTTACGTCGAGAAGGGGAAGAAGCTCGTCGACGGAAGAAGGAGGGTTGAGCAGCTTGTTCCCCGCATCCTCGAGCTGTTGCTCGAGCTCCTTGTCGGCGGAAGCCATGACCAAACTCGGTAGTTTCAAAACTCTTTCACGAAATCCCTAACAGATCCTCTCCCTGGAAAAAAAACAATCAGACACACACACTCGCCACTCGCAAATTCTCAGACCATCGAAACCCTAGGAATCCCACAGTGAATCCACCAGATGCAGAGCTCGGGGGGAGCAAGCAAAAGGGGAGCAGTGGAGATTTTCGAAGAACGAGCGAGAGAGTGTGTACAAACTTGTGATTGGTAATTTGTTTTAGGGTTTTCTCTTTTTCTTTTTTCCTTGAGACAGTGAGTGTTTCTGTTTTCCTTTTTTTTTTTTACTGCTTTGGTTATTTGGATTCTGGTGGTAATGTTTTTTTATAGGTCTTCTCTGACCCCCTGAAACGTCTGTTTGTTTTTTTCTTTACTTTCCCATGAACTCAGAAAAAGTAAATCATTTCAAACTTTTCTCTATTTTTTCATTTTATTAATTTTCCTTTTTTTCTTCGCCTTGCGCTTTTTGGAGTGGAAGAATCCAGTCCAAGCAGAGGCGCCGGATTCTGCCGGGTTTACTGAACCGGAATTAAATCCTGGGTCTCAAGTCCGCCTTTCGGGTCTCGTGACTTTTATCTATATGCCCCTTCCTTTTCCTTTGTCTTGCTGTTTGACCCAAAAAAAATAATACTTTCGCTCTTTTACTCTCCTTTTTCTTCTTCATGCCGGGGGCACTAAGCTCCGAGATAAGGAAGAAAAAATCCAAGGTCTTGTTTGGCAAATGGCAACCATTCACTATTTCCATCTTTTCGTGTTTGCCTATAAAAGATGCAAATAACAAACATTCCATTGTCATTTCAAACAAATCCATGATAGTAAGTTGTCATATCATTAGAGTACTGAACTTCAATATTTTCATTTTGGGATAATAATATTGATTTATTTTACTATAGAAATAAAATTAAAATTGGTTTATTAGATAGTTTTTCTTTAATTTTGCATTAGAATACTTCAACGGTGAGATTTTCTCCATAATTAATGATGTATTCTATATAGTAATATTTATCGTTCTTCTTATCTCATCTCCATTATGTAACAAATTTACGCACAAAACATCATTTGAATTCTAGCATTGTAAATTTTTATGTATTGTGATATAATACTTTAGGGGTCGTGTTTTATTATGTAAATGTATTAAAATGTAATGTTCGTTGTAGTTTACTTTAAAGATTAAACCAGGTATCACATCTTTAAATAGTGATACTATTTGATTAAGTATGATGTTTCCCATCCGTCGTACAAAATCCACTAGAGATTTTCCTACCAATTTTGGAACTAATTAACTATAAATGCTTGCAAAAAAAATATCAAATAGCAATGAAAATAATACATTTACCTCGAAAAACAAATTGATTCTTCATAAGAAAAAATTATAGATGTCAATATTCGTCATTCTGTGATAATATATATTAATATTTAATGATGATACTTATTATCCGAATTGATAATTTGCCCCTGACGGGTTAATTCGTGATTGGTCAGGGAAATGTCTGGGAGCGTTTGTTGAGAACCTCGGAGTGTGCACGATTACTCGAGCTGAAATCATGGCGGCCATCCGAGGCCTTTAGTTTGCGTGGAGGAATGGGTACATGAAGGTTCTTCTCAAAATGGATTCCACCACAACTATTAATATCCTTACCTCCAGTGAGCATACGGAGGACAGGTACTATATCCTGGTTCAGCAGTTCCAGGAATTACTTCATAAGAGCTGGGAAGTGAAGATTTCCCACATCTACAGAGAAGGAAACAAAGTGGCGGATTTTCTTGCCAATAAGGGTCACTTCGTTAGCATTTGTTATCATGATTTTGAGGTCTCGGACTCAGGTTTATCATTTTGGACCTTCTATGACACTTTGGGTATTTCCCAAACCCGTTTAATTTAAGTATCAGGCAGGGGGCGCCCTTTTAGCGTCCCACTTACCTACAAAAAAAAAAGATAATTTGCCCCCGAAATTTTAGTTTATCACTAACACATATTTTCCCAAAACTTCATAACAAATTATCCCGCTTTCAGCAAAACTTCACCAAATTCTAAAAAGTGCCAACAAACACACTATAATAGTCTTTCACACGGGGTGAGATGATATGATAACCCTCAAAGGGGTCGGGTTTTTGACACCTCAATTATTAGCCATCCATTTCATCCCGAATTTTAAGGTAAGCATTAATGAAGGGGTTTTTTTTTTCCTATAATTTTGTAAATGGTGCAAGTTCTCATATTAATTATGTTTTTATGGGAAGGAGCACATCACATTGGATGGGGAAAAACCAATCGAGCTCCCATATTCCCCTTCTTTCCTCCCGAATAAATAGAAACTCGACCCTCTCCTCTGCATAACTCGACGACATCGGGCATTGCCACGGTGGGATCCCCTCCGACCCGCCTAGTGGGTTGCTCATCGCTGGAGGACGAGCCGTAGGGCATATTGCCGGAGATCGAGCCGAAGAAGGCCACGCCGGGAGAAAAGACGGATCCGATATTCTGTGTGGCGGCTCTGGGCATGCCAAGAAGGATGGCTCCTGTGGTGGCATCGAATAACGGAGAGGTGAAGATGGGATCAGACTCGCCTCCCGATTGTCGGACGGACTGATGTCTGCCGAGGGAGAACTCGTCGGAGATAAAGAAGAACATGGAGGGCGACAACTACTTGTTTCTTATTGCTTCCCTGTCGTGAAGTGCAACCGTACAACGTCTAGCATACGGCAACATTGTCGTGAAAATGTAACTGATGTGGTACAGGTACTTGAACTGATACATGTATCACTAAAGTGGTATATGTACCACTGACCTGATACAAGTACAGTGTAACTATTCAAGTCATACTTTCCACACCAAAATGCGACCACCCACTTGCAGCGTTAGATATATTGTACTTGTACCATTGGCAAAATCGAAACTTATCCTAGATGTTCCCATTGCATATAGTGTTAGCTATACTATGGAGTGGTACAATTGAAATGATACATGTATCACTGAACTAAACCCCTTTCATACCGATTTTGATCGTGATTACTTTAATTGACATCCATGGGAAATAAAGCATTCCAAGAACTAGCTTTGACCCCGACCAATTGATCGGAATTTCTTCTTTTTTTTAGTAATTTGGTTTGCGCCTCACAACAATTTTTTTTACACACATGATTTATATTTTATGGTATTGTCATAGTTTTAACCATACAACATTGTTATAGTTAAGTAACTCTGCATAATGAGAAACGTGTCATGTGAGTTTAAGACAATACATGCGGAGTTGTGCACGATGGCATAAAATTGAATGATATTGATATAGTTTAGTAGCTCCGTCAAACAGGAGTGTGACTCGTGAATTTGTGATCGTGACCATATATTTGATTTTTATTTTCAACATACATAAATTATTTAGTGTAGATCACATTAAAGTTGTTTTTGCGGGAAAATATATAAATTCGGATTTCAGGCAACATAAATACGGATCGATTAATAATAGAAGGATAATTGAAAAAGAAAATAGAGTGTGTTAGGTGTTACATTGTTTGCTTTAGTAAGAATGTCTCTTTACCAGATCCGGAGTTCTTGGCGGCAATCCTTGGTGTAGGTGCTGTAGGGGTACAGGATAAATACCTTGGTCTACCCACTTTGATTGCTCGTTCCAAGATGGCCACTTTTCGCTACCTGGAGGAGAAGCACTTAGAACGTTTGCAGGGTTGGAAACGCAGGACTTTGTCGTGGGCAGCTAAGGAAACTCTGATTAAATCTGTCGCCTTAGCTCTACCGCTCCATGTGATGTCCTGCTTTCTCCTGCCGTTATCACTTTGTCGTCTCCTGGACAAGCATGTGGCCAGATTTTGGTGGGGGGGGGTCGAGGATGGTCGTTCCAAGATTCGGTGGATCTCCTGGAGAAATTTGTGTAGGAGTAAGCATGAGGGGGGGATGGGTTTTTGTCGGTTCGAACAGTTTAATCAAGCGCTGTTGGCGAAGATCGGATGGCGTATTCTGAATGAACCCCAGTCTCTCCTAGCCCAGGTCTATAAAGGGAAGTATTTTCCGCAGGGATCCTTTCTTTTGGCTCAGGCGCGTTCCCGCCCTTCCTGTGGATGGCAAAGTATTCTCTTTGGTCGGCAGTTATTGTCTAATGGTTTGCGGTGGTAGATTGGGAATGGTCAGAAGGCTCCTTTGCTCAACTCAAATTGGATCCCGGCTCAACTGCCTTCTTATCCTGTGTATAACCCTCGGGTTCTGCCGGATGATGGGGAACTGACGGTCTCGGTTGTCCTATATCCTGGGGAAGGGCGTTGGTGCGAGGATAAGCTGAGCCAGTGGTTTGACCTCTTACTTGCCAGGCGATTAGGGCGGTGCCCCTGCCACGGCAGAATATCGAGGATCGATTGATCTGGCATGCTACGGAGGATGGAATTTTTACTGTGAAATCGGCTTATCATTTGGCGGTTTCTCTGGACCGGCAGAGTGGGAGATGGCGGGCGCAGGTTAGTTGGATGGATAAGCGGAGTTGGATCCGGGTTTGGGACGCAAATATTCCTCCGAAACTTAAGGTGTTTGTCTGGAAAATCTTGACCAGAATTTTACCTACGACTGAGGCTCTTATAGAAAAGGATGTGGAGGTCCTGCCCCGATGTCCGGTCTGCTAGGCTTCAAAGGAGACAATGGAGCATTTGTTCTTTAATTGTCCGGTGGCTAGGGCTTTGTGGTCGCAGGCGGGGTTTGAATCTCTTGGCGAGGGGTTGCCCCGTCATACATTCCCCCTATTCCTTAAAAAATTGCTGGCTATTGTACATCAACCTTCGCAGTTCATGGCGGTAATTGCTATCCTGTGGCGAATTTGGAGATCCCGGAATTGGGTGGTCTTTGAAGGAAAACAATTCAGCATTCCGGCATTATTGAGGCAGTATAACCAACAAGTAGAGGAGTGGCTCGCTCTGCCGAGGGACCCTCAGTCTCCCTCGTCTCTTCTGCCTGATCGTCCTAATGGAGTAGTAAGCGAGTCAGGGGGACATGTATGTCGTTGGGATGGGGCTGTTCGACGAGGATCGCATTCTGCAGGGGGTATGGTACTTCTCAATGATGCAGGAATGCCGCTTTGGGCTGCGGGGATTCAGTTTCCGGACCTGGATGATCCAATGGTGGTGGGGCTCCTTACGCTTCGGGAAGCTGTCTGTTGGTGTTTAACGCACAGGTTTCCGGTCATGCGATTCGAAGGGGATGCTAAGGTGGTCATTGATAAGATCTATAGGGCTGATGTTCGCGACAGTCGGGTTGGGACTATTTTGGAGGAACTGGTCCAGATTTTCAGGGATAATCCGGGTTTTACTTTAT